TCAATTTTTCCTTTCTCTTTGAAGTGTTACAAGCTCTTGGTGCATAAAGAAGATCTGTAAAGTTGCAAAGACTAAAGTCTCAAACCCAAAGAGATATTATTTATAAAAGTTAAGAGTCAACCACGTCTAGTTAAAACGGCTCGTTCTAACACGCCCCCACATGTCTACGTCACGATGTGGGAAGATTTGCATAACGCCCCCCAAATGTTCACGCAAAGAAGGCACTGTGTGTTTCGTTGTGAAAGCGAAACTACTTTGTTTGGCCTTCCAAAAGAGGACGATATCTGCTTCGTCATGCCTAGAGCTGATCCGTGCTGGGCGCTGAGGAAATACATCAACTTCACGCTGTGGATCGCCGGATCGGCTTTCACCGTGGATGAAGTGGAGTCCAGACGAGTCCAGACCGGGGTCGTCACATGTGGTTGCCGCAAGCCCGCCGGCCGCTCCTTCGTCCAATCCGTCGGCCGCGCCGTTCTCAAGTCCCCGGCCGTTCCTCACTCTAGCCCACCGTGTGTTTCATTGTGAAAGCGAAACTGCTTTGTTTGGTCTTCCAAAAGAGGACATTATTTACAACACTGTTCCAGAACAGTTCAACCCAAATATTCATTTGTGTGCAGCACATTTTATGGAGGACTGTTTCCTGATCCTGGAAGAGTAGACTACAATGCCGGCTGTTCTGACTCACAGACTGTAAGTACATTTTCATTTAAAGGATTTGCCACTGATGATTCAAATGCGAGTTTTGAGCAGTGTAGCGTAGCGCTTGTTTGTCATTTCTCCGATCACAAATGCAGACATGGTTTTATATTTACGTGGCGCGATGCAATGCAACGCGTAAAAAGACAGTATAAGTTTTCATGTTTCTGAATTGTCGCTCCGGACGGTCAGGGCATCACAGTATGGTAAGGGTCGTAACTTTTCTGTCACACGCTTGAGGTATTCGGCCAATCACAACGCACTGGATAGCTGGCCAATCAGAGCACACCTCGCTTTTCAGACCGATGAGCTTCAACGCGTTTCAGAAAGGCGGGGCATAGAGGAGAAACAATAATGTACAGTATGTGGAAAATAATGTGTTTTTTGAACTTTAAACCGCATAAACACATTTCATTACACCAAATACACAAAATAACAACATCATATGACCCCTTTAAGATTGCATCAACCAATAAATTCTCAAATAATTGTTCTAAACGTCAGTGTTGTTACTGTAACTAAAAATAATACTATTAAAAATTATTTTTATTAATAAATCTGAAATAAAATGTTACATAAAACTATAAAAGCTTCGAAATGCTGCCTTGGCAACTATAGTAAAATAAGTACTAACATTACTACAACTGAAATAAATTATAAGCTAAAAATGTATTACAATAAAAAAATGAAAACAAAATTAAAATGTAAAAACTAAATTGAATTAAAAATATAATAAATATTACAGTAGCATATAAATAATAAAATAAATAATACCAACAACAACATAAAATATTGTTATTAATAATAATTTTGATATTGTTTATTATAATTTCTACTAGTATTATTAATAGCCCATTTTGATTATTTAGTTATTACCGTTCCAAAACTGAAGAAGAAAACAATAATTAAAATCAATATGTGACCCTGGACCACAAAACCAGTCATAAGTAGCATGGGTATATTTGTAGCAATAGCAAAAAATACATAGTATTGGTCAAAAATTATCGATTTTTCTTTTATGCCAAAAATCATTAGAATATTAAGTAAAGATCATGTTCCATGAAGATATGTTGTAAATTTTCTACTGTAAATATATCAAAACTTAATTTTTGATTAGTAATGTGCTTTGCTAAGAACTTAATTTGGACAACTTTAAAGGCGTTTTTCTCAATATTTAGACTTTTTTGCACCCTTAGATTCCAGATTTTCAAATAGATTTATCTCAGCCAAATATTGTTTATCCTAACAAATATATCCTCCATACATCAATGGAAAGCTTATTTATTCAGCTTTCAGATGATGTATAAATCTCAATTTCAAAAAAATTACACTTATGACTGGTTTTGTGGTCCAGGGTCACATATGCCATTGTACATGTGAGATATTGGATACCTAAACATTAAAATAATCAATATTTGTCAATCTATATTGACCAATCAAGCAGTATACAGTCAGCTGGTGTGAACATTTTTCATTCTTTCAAGTGTGTCAGCAGTACTCACATGCGACTGGATAAATGCAGCAAAGTCCAGAGTGTTGCAAGTTAAAAGCAAAGAAAACAAGAAAAGTTAATTGCACACGCTCACAGGCAAACACAGTTATGTGTGGAATAGCATGCATGCATGCTAAATATACACTCATTTGCTTGATCTCACATTTTAAATCTAAATTCAGAATTATTTACCAAATGATTCTCAATGGCAATGATGAACACACAGTGAGAAGTCTTAAAACATGATATAACAGCACTCTACAGATGATTGTTAACTCAGTGTTTTAATATACTGAAGTTTGCAAATGAGATCCATTTGTATAGTACAACATCTTTTATTGGCTAGTGTGACCAGTGCTACCACCTGCAGTTCATTTGGCTTTTGTGTAAAGCATATTTTTGTGCAAATTAGATTGCTGCAACTTCCCTTGCTAATGAAAGCTCAGTTATTAACTAATGACTTTAAATACAAATGAACAATAGCCTCTTTTATGAACCCCTTTTGTATAAAAGACCTTTTATAAAAGTTGTTTTCATCGAGAGTAATAAACCCCAGTACATGTATCGAATCACAGAGGCTGCCCACCTTGAGCCCTCCCCCATATCTTGTAATTAAGCTGAAGATTAAATATCCCATTTAGAAAATGAATCCAAGCAAAGTAATTGTCCACACGAAAAGCCCCCGTTAGCTTTATTTATCTTCCCCACACAGATTCTTTCTGCCAGATCATGCACTAATACTGTTTTTCTCCTTTATAGTTACAGGCTCTCCTAACCCAGGGAACATTATTATTCTGAGAAATGCACCTAGTGCATAAGTTTTCGCAAAGACTCTGGCGAACACAAATGCAGGATTCACCAGAGGAGGTCTTCAAATCTTGGTTTACTGTGGCCGGCAAACAGCTGTGAAATTGCAGAATTTTATTGCACAATGAGAGCTGTCTTGTTTAGTGGACGGGTTGCTAATGTAAGTGACTGTAACGTGGACTAAAACGGATCATGAAAACAACAAATCAAGAAGTCACGCTGACAGAAACACAAGCACACATACAGTACTGTATACACACACACTGTCTCTATTGTTTCAAATAAAGCTAGATAGTATCTATTGTTAAAAACAAACTTTTGGCTTTCCATTTGCTACTTTTTTATAGATAAAGACAAACATTTGCCTTTCTGAAATATGCTAAGCTAAGGTGCTTGCAGCTAACATAGCATAGCACTACTTAGCCTTAGTATAAGTCTTCAAGATAACACAACACATTTTGCATTTTATTATAAAAAAGAAGTAACAGAATTTCCAATAGAAATAGAATAGAAAATATTCCCAAAACAATGCTCTCATATTTCTAATTTTTTAACAGATTGGTTCCAAACCTGTATTAGCTAACCTGTATTATCTGGCACACAAAGGCTAACCACGTACGTAAACAGCACCTGAACAGCTCTTAAAATGCTTCCATTATCGAACAAATTAGCATGTGTAATTGCATATAAATGATGCAATGTAAGCGATTTGTGTTATTTATATTTATTTACAGAAAAGTCAGAAAGAGAGCTGACAAAAAAAAAAAGTCTTATGTGCACACCAAAAGTTAAATTAATTATTAGCGTAAGTAGATTGCATACAAAATTAATGCAAAGGCGCAAAGAGACTCAGATTTGTGCGGCGATATGAATGATGTGAAATGGGCGATGCATTTGCAGCGAACATGCAATATTCACCTCAATCGCGTTTTTCGCGCAAGTCAAGCTGAAAATTCACACAATGAATTGTCGCGCAAGCCAATCAGTGAAGAACCTATTGATTCATCCAGTTTGACATGCCTGGTTGTATAAGAAAATGTTTTTTATTGTTTTTATTTGCGCAAAAGATGCAAAAAACACCCCACGAGTACCGTGATGCAAATATTTGCTTCGCTTTTGGTGTGTACACCATCATGGTGTGTGCACAGCAAAAGTGAATTTACTTATTCACGCAAGTAGATTACACACAGAGTCAATGCAAAGTCTCACATAGATACAAATTTGCGTTGGAACACACTATATTCGCCTCAATTGCATATTCCGCGGCGAGTCAAGTGGAAAATTCACATGACGCATTGTCGCGCAAGCCAATCAGCAAAGAGCTTATTGACACATCCAGCTTGACACGTCGGGTTGTATCAGAAAATGGATACATTATGAGATGATTTTGTTCATGTAAGTGACACGAAAAACATCCTGCTAGTAATCTAGTGTGATTATGTGATGTGAATATTCATTTTGCTTTTGGTGTGCACACACCATTAGTCTTACAGGCTTTTGGGCATTTGTCAGACTTAGAGACCAGCTAGGCTAGGTTAAACCAGCTAAGACTCGCAAGTCGCAAAACAGCTGGCTTAAGCCATTTTCCTTTCAGCAGGGTTGCAGTTTCTTCCATAAAAAACCAAGGCAGGAAGCCCAGAAAAGTACTTTCCTATAGAGCAGGTACACATGTGACACAATCATGATTGAATCCCACCGCAGGTCATCTGGAAATGAACTCTTCTGCCCATCGCAAGAGAGCCAAAAGACACCCGAACAAACTGCAGTGTCAACTGTTTACAGGAGTTCCACAACAAAAGAGACCATCAAGCTCAGTTCATCCTTCTCATGTCGTGTCTGTTTTCCTCCCACGCCGCTTTCGGCCTTGTGAAGAACTCCTTAACGGCTCCGGGTATGTCTTGTGAGTGGTTGCTATGGAGCTTGTTTTCGTTCTGCTGTATGCTACACAGCTGTGATATTGATCCAATAGAACAATAAAACACAACTTTTCTCTCTTTACTTCAGAGGTGCTTTATTAAAGGTGCAATGGTCTCCTTCAGCATGCCATCAGGGAGGAGACTGCGGAGTCTCCAGGCCAGGACCAGCAGACTGAAGGACAGCTTCATCCATCAGGCTGTCAGTATAAAGGAACAAAAACGAAAGGAGTCATAGCTTCAGAGGAGTGATGACGCATGAGACGAAATGGATGGAAGAAGGTGGAAATTGGACAGGGGAAAAGACAGGAAAATAGTGGCCATAAATTTTGGCATTATACTTGAGGTTTTACAGTGCTCAGTTGCTCTTATGCCCTCAAGGACTTTTAGAGGAAAATAGTGATGCACTGACATTAACATTCTGGTTAATATCCATAAGCTGGCAATTATTTTCATAAAAATGTCAAAAAACTAATTTAGGCATCCCAACATAATGTACATCATGAAAAGGATATTCATTTTATGATTGGCTAAAGATTTCATTTATTATCATTTTTAAAAAGTAACTTTAAATACACATTAGACATTATTTAGACAGCAAAGCTGATCTGCAAATCAGCAATTAGGAGCAATGGCCATAAATAAATAAATAAAAGGATTCCGATAAATGCAGTCTTAGTGAACTTAAGAGATTTTTGGTCACACTTTATTTTAAGGTCTTCATTAATATTACATGTTCTCTGTGCTCTGTTTGGACTTTTACGTTGAAGTGTTTCCTGTGCCTTGTTTGTAATCTGTTTGTAGTCCGTTCGCGTATTGGTTCCCCATGATTAGGTTCCCCAGGTGTTTCCCATTTACCATGCCCCCTTGTTATCTTGTTTAGCTGGTTCTCTTGTGTATAAATTGTGCTTGTGTTCCATTCGTGGTTTGTCAGTCAATGTTCGCGTTCATCCGTCTTTTGTGTTCCCTAGCTTCCAGTGTGACTCCCTGCATTTAGATCCTCGCATCTGCCTGCTCTCTCCTCACGTAAAAACAATTAACAAGCCATTACCTACAACTTTTGCCTCAAACTCCTAATTTGCTGCTTATTAATAGTTAGTAAGGTAGTTTTTAAGTGTAGGTATTGGGTAGGATTAGGGATGTAGACTATGGTCATGCAGAATATGTGCTTTATAAGCACTAATAAATAGCCAATATGTTTATAATAGGCATGCTAATAAGCAACTAGTTAATAGTGAGAATTGTTACCTATACTCCTTACCCTTACCAGATTTATATATATAAAAAAATAAAATAAAAATCTTGTTCAAGTGGCCTTCAAAGTGAGCAGGCTATTCTCATGCTCATTTTCAAAAATAATTCACCCAATGTGTGGCGTGATTGTAGCAGTCAAACTTTCAGTGGAACACAAGGAACTGTCGGAAAGTGACGAGACAAGTTTCGAATGATCAAGGCTACTGGTGGGGTGGAGCAATAGAGGCCATGGAAATGAATCGCGGGCGCTGCCTCGCTGTTTATGGCAAGCTCACAGGTGGTGGTTTATTTGAATGTACAAACAAACACATGTACACAAACACAAGCATGCCTACACAGCCTCCCCTGGCTTTCTTCTCAGTCATTAGATGTCAGCGAACAGCCCTGGGGGAGACGCTCACCTATTTCTATCAGCTCTCATTAGGAGCATTGAGGACATGAAAGAGCAGCCGTTTCTTGCCACTGCCTGAATATGACAGGAAGGAAGGACCCGACTCGAACTTCTCTGACAATACAGCACTGAAGGGGAGGAGAGGATATGTCCTCACTTTCATATCCTTTCACTCTTTTTTTCGATCGTGATAGATTTCGGCAGTGTAAGAACAACAGTGGTGTATAATCTCCCTTGATTTACGGATACTTGACTTTGAATGGAAACTGATGTCAAAGAGGCTGTGTATTAGACACAGAGTACTTAACTTTCCCTTTGAAAACAATCCAAAAACCAGAAACTAAGTGTTGCTTGCTAAGGAAAACATCACTATTGCTAAAATTGTGGCTTATGGATTTGAACAAACCCCTCAAACCATGCAACTTGATGACAAAATTTGTGCTATTACAAAAATATAAAATATAATAAAAACACACTACCGTGCAAAGTTAACATTTTTTTATGTTTTCACCTACAGTAGCTTTTATTTGATAAAACAAACCAGGAATAAAATAAAATAAAATAAAATAAAATCATTCACAATTTAAGGTTATAAAAATAGTTTTTATTGTTTTTTATAAGAAGCCTCATATGCTCACTGCATTAATTTGG